CCTGTTTCCTCATCACAGCCCTTCTACATCTTGACCCCTTTAAAACAGGCACGCTTGCAGGGGAAAAAATTGAACAAGGGGGCCCAAAAAATGGAATGGGGGGACTCCTAAACGCAAAATTTTTTTGCTGGGGATATGGGACATCTCAAATTTTTTGGGTTTTAAGGGTTTTGATTTACGGGGGGTTTAATTTTGGGAAGCCGAAAAAAATTTCCCAAGGTAAACCCCCGGGGAAAGGGCCCGATTTTAAATTTTTTCGCTAAAAATTAAAAAAACCAAAAAATTAAAACTCTCATACTATGCCGGCCCGGGGGGGAAAGCAAGAAGGGCGGCAATTGTTAATGGGGTCTGCGGACCAACACCCCCCAAATTTCCAAACTTTAGAAATTTCCCCCTTGGGTTGAGGGGAACCCCCAAAAAAAATTTTAAAATTTGAAAACCAATGGGGGCCAAAGGCAAAGGGCTGGCAAGGTTTTAAATTTGGGTTTGGGCGGGCGAAAAAAGGGTTTGGGGGCCAAAAAGCTTTGACCCCACAATCCCCCCAAACATATACCGTGAAAAACAGCCCAAAAAACCCCAAGGGGGGAGGGGTTAAAATGCCTAACCGGGTTGAAACTAGCCCCGCTGGTACCCCCGCCAGTTCACCAAAAGGTAAAAGGGGCCACAAAACGGCACTCTGCTGCATATGAAGTCATAAAATTTTTCCCGGGCCCAAGTCTAACGGGAAATCGGGCCTTTTCGCGAACCCCTGCTTTTTTTGTGTGCAATGAATCAATGACAGTGACCTACTGAAAAACTAGCAAATTCTGGGGAAAAAGGGGGGGTAAGCGAGTGGCTAAACCCCGGGTGCTGGCAGGGCCCCCGGGGGCTATAATATATTATATGATTTTGCGTACCACCTATGCCGCCCTGTAGCAGGTATTTTCTGCTTGTAGGGTGGTCAGGGATAAATCTTGCTATGCGGTTTAACAGGAAAGAGGTTTTGTTGTTACGGGCGCTGCGTTTACTTTTAACTGGACAATTGCCGAGACGGGTCATGCAACAGTGCACACCAGGATTCATTATTATGGGCGCCAACAGGTGTTTGCGCAGCAGGCTTTACAATATAAGGGAGACAATAATAATTACAATACTTTCAGTACAGAAGGAATGTGAGGGGCCCTGCTCGTGGAGCTTTACAAGAAAAATGACAAAAACATTTTTTTTTTTTTACACAAAGTTAGTCATTTAAATGATATATTTCTCGCACAAGCCATGGGTATATGTGGAATTACACCCCAAAATATATTCTGCTATTCTAATACAAGTATGGGGTACCACATGTGTGAGACTTTTTGGGGAGCCTAGCCACATACAGGAGCCTGAAAAATCCAATGAACACTTTGAAAGCCTGAACGTGCGTAAACTTCCTCATTTCACTTCCTCCCTACCCTATCACAGTTTCGAAGGCCCTGAAATGCCAGGATAGCACCAAACACCCCCCCCCCGAGACCCCTTTTTTGAAAAGTAGACACCCCGAGGAATTTTAAAAAGAGGCGAGGCGTGGTGAGTATTTTGGGCAGATCTCAATTTTTACTCACAAGGTCTTGAAATATAAATAAAGAAAAGAAAAAATATGTTTTTTGTTTTTTTTCTTCAATTTTCAAAAATCTTGTGGAAACAAACGAGATCTGCAAAAATACTCACCAATGCTTCCCTTATCAAATTCCTTGAGAGGTCTACTTTCCAAAAATGGTCATTTGGGGGGGGGGGGGGGGTGGTGGTTTTGGTGCTATCCTGGCATTTCAGGGCCTCCCATACTGTGATAGGTAGTCAGGGAAGTGTAACAAGGAAATAAAGAACTTTGACAGCCTGAAGTGAATAATTGGATTTTGGGGTCCCTGTACTTGGCTAGGACTGTGGTTTTACCCCCAAAAAGGAAATTAATTTAAACCCCCTAACATTAGAGAGACAGGGTGACAGTTCTTAAAATAGGTTTAGATAAGGGGCGGGGGGATGATGTCCCCGGCTGGCCCCGCCCCTAACCTATTTTACAGAACTGTCAGCTAGGCCTTTTTTTCACAAGGCTGTGGAAGCCTCCGACGGGACCGGAAAACTTTTTTTTTTTCTTTTTTCGGGTCGCCGCCGCCACCGCACCGACCGTGATTGACGTTGGATCTACTTCGGGGGGACATTGTTTTTAATAAAGGACTTATCAAAGACCCTGTACTGTGTTTTTTTTTACACCACACTTTGTTTTTTTGTGAATGCGTCGCGAGGACCCTGTACCGCAGACTTCATTCACATAGGGGGAGGGGTCCGGGATCTGGGGGCCCCCTTGTTAAAGGGGGCTTCCAGATTCTGATAAGCCCCCCCCCCGCAGACCCCCACAACCACCGGCCAGGGTTGAAGAGGGCCCTTGTTCCCATCAACATGGGGACAAGATGCTTTGGGGGGAGCCCCCCCTGCCCCAAAGCATCCCCCCCATGTTGAGGGGGCATGGGGCCTGGTATGGTTCAGGAGGGGGGGTGCGCTCGCTCGTTCCCCCCCCTCTTCCTGACCTGCCGGGCTGCATGCTCGGATAAGGGTCTGGTATGGATATTGAGGGGTACTCCACGCTGGTTTTTTTTTTTTTAATTTTCGGCGGACTAGAGTTACCCCTTAACATCCATACCAGACCCGAAGGGCTTGGTAATGGATGGGGAGGGGGGATCCCCCACGCTGTTTTTTTTACTATTTATATTTAATTCACGGAAATAATTTAAAATTCCAGCTGTCAGTGGGAAACCCAGATGACAGCTGAAAACATTCCTTCTGTCCCATGCAGAGAGCTCCGCTATTATATTGACATTTAAAAGTATAGAGACTGCAACATTGTATCTATTTGTATCCATTTCAGATATAGATGTTTTTTAATTCGGATACATAAGATACAATGTTGCAACCTTTATACTTTTTTAATGTCAAATATAATAGCGCAGCTCTCCGCAGGGACAAAAGTAATTACTTCGCTATTATATTTGCCGGCCGTAACGGGTGAAAATCGGACAATTTTCTTTACCGTTGGTGGTAACGTCGGCCCATTGAACAACCAATTTTTCGTTTTTTTTTTTTTAAAAAGCGGTCAGTTTTTGCCCCATCTATGGCCTGCATTTTTCTTTTTCTTCTTTTCTTCTTCTTTTTTTATTCTTGTTCTTCATTTTCTTCTTCTTCTTTTTCTGCAGGTCATGGCTCATGCGCAGATTTTTTATCTGTAAAAAACCACCCAACAGACCTTCGTCAGCCAATTTGCCGATCATTGCCGCTAAAATCAGCCGATCCGCAAAAATGGCCGATTTTTATCCAAATTTACTGATTAAAAAAAAGTGGCAAAAAATCCCCAAAAATGGCTGACCAATTAACCCACTAACGGCCCGAAAATCAGCCGATTTTTTTTCGGCTGATTTTAGACCCATGTAAAGCAGGCCATAGATGGGTCTAAAATCGACCGATTTTTCTGCCGAAAAAAAAATCGAACGATTTTCGGGCCGTTAGTGGGTTAATTGGTCGGCCGGTTTTCGGGATTTTGGCACATTTTTTTTATCAGTAAATTTGGAAAAAAAAATTTCCAACTTTACTGATAAACAAAATATGCTAAAATCCCGAAAAAAATGGCCCCTAGTAAAATAAAATGGCCAACACCAATTATCCCACTAACGGAAGAGGCCCTTGTCCCCATTAACATGGGGAAAAGGTGCTTTGGGGGGAGCCCCCTGCCCCAAAGCACCCCACCCCCCCATGTTGAGGGCATGTGGCCTGGTTTGGTTCAGGAGGGGGGGGGCGCTCGCTCGTCCCCCCCCTTTCCTGACCTGCCGGGCTGCATGCTCGGATAAGGGTCTGGTATGGATTTTGGGGGGATCCCCAAGCTGTTTTTTATTTAATTTCGGCGTGGAGTTTCCCCTTAATATCCATTACCAGAACCCGAAGGGCTTGGTGTGGATGGGAGGGGGGAACCCATGCCGTTTTTTTATTTATTATGGTGCTGGTTTTTAAATGTAATTTTCCCTTTTTTTTCTTCACTATAGCTCAGAAATTCACCTGTCACTTCCCCCAGCTAAAAAGAGAAAGTTTTCTTGGAATTTATATCCCTAAAGGATACAATGTTTACTTTGACTTTATTAAAAGATACAAAGTTTTCTGTAACTTCGGGGAAAGTGACTTCTAAGCTTGTGAACTATAGTAATTATTAACAATTGTGTAAACCGAGGCATTATCTTCAATGGATTTTCCATTCGTAAACCGAAAATTACGTTAACCGAGGCGTTGGTAAACCGAGGTACGCCTGTATTAGTAGTGCAATCCTTTCGTATTGGGATACATAGAACCAACATACATCTGAATTGGCCACATAGCACAACATTTGTGTCGCATTTGAGATCTGGCTAGTTTACACTGACCTTGCCCAGGGACCTAGGAAAATTCACACCACAGAAATACAGGCAGGATTAGTGTTCAACAGCTCCGTGGATTAGTGGTTAGTACTACTGTCTCACAACGCTAGGGTTGTTGGTTTGAATCCCAACCACAGCAATGAATTTGCATGATCTCCGTGTGTGACTACCCTAACATACATGTGCTGGTGGCAGCATCTTTGCTTTCTGTTTAAATGATCCCTAGAATGTGAAATTAGAATAAGGCCTTGTCTGTTCAAAACACCTTTAAAGTAGCACCTTTTGTGAATGTCAAACGATGGGATGAGATAAGGGCCCTGGACTAATGATTGACTGGATAATGCTGGTTTGCACTCCACCTCCTTTTGGGAAAGTTTGTCAAACCATGAGAAGAGTGAGCGAAAGAAATGGATTAAAAAATACAAATAAAATAATGGCATGGAGTCCCCCCCCCAAATCCATAACAGACCCTTATCTGAGCATGCAGATACCACATTCCTTCAAAGATTTATTTCCTTTGTTGAATTGCCTGCTTGGTTCACACTAGATGCGATTTAAAAATTGTGCTTTCTGTTGGCAATTTCACCGTGTTTTCTGTAGATTTACCAATGATTATTGCGTTTTCAATTGTGTTTTGCATTGCGATTTCTATTGTAGTCTATATGTGAAAAATCGCTCCAAAATACTGAAAAAGTTAGACGAGAACTACTTTTGAAATTGTGCTGCAGCAAATCGCTTATGTTAAGACACTCACATCCACATTCATTAGATCGGATATCAGGTACAATTTCAATTCTCAAATCGCACCTGAAATCGTGCACCCTGGATGCGACTTGGCATGCGATTTGCATGGCATGTGACTTGCAAATCGTATGCCAAGTCGCACACCCTATTGTCTGCTATTAGAGCAGTCACATGGGTGCGTTTCCGACACTGATTTCTAAAGTAGTACATGTACTACTTTTGTGACGATTTGCATAGATATCTGTGTCAGATGTCTTGCAAAATCGTAAGGAAATTCAGCATCTTCACTGTACGTCGAAATCAACAATTTCTAAATCGGCTTTGATGTGACCTGGGTGGTATGGATAAGCCCAAGTGATATTAACCATTTGTTTCCTGCTGACTAAACTGTGAAAGCACAGTTCATTATAAGTATAATCTTTTAGATTGTAAGCTCTTATGAGCAGGACCGTTCTATTTTAGCAACATTCAATCCTGTGTTTGTGTTTTTTTTTTTCACAACCAAGATATTGAATGTAGCTTTTTGTTGCTGTCCCAAATAAATGTGGAATGTGTATTTGATCAAAATAAAACATTTGTACTATGTATTTTTTTTTTTGGGGGGGGGGCACTTATTTCATGTTCTAGTTGAATGTTGCACCAGTGGCTAACTGGTTAGCACTTCCCCTGGCAGTGCTAGGGTCATTGGTTTGAAATCCAGCCACAGCACCTCCTGCCTGGAGTTTGCATGTTGTGCCTGTTTCTCCACACTCTAAAAGACATGCTGGTAGTGTTACCAATTGGATCCTATCAAAAATTGGTCCCAGTATATGTATGAAATGTAAGTTAGGGCTCTTAGTAATGCCCTTTGAGGGTTAGGGACTGATGTGAAAATTTACCACATCTATATGTAAAGCGCTGCGTAAAAAAACAGTCCTATAAAAAATAAATCTGAAATCGTACTAGCAAAACCTAAAACTTATTTTTTGCATAACAAAGCCAAAAATAATAAAGACAAAAATCCTAATAATACACATAGACCCCCCCCCCCCCCCCACATAAAAATAAAAAGAATAAAAAAAATAACCCACACCCAACCAATCCCTACAAACCATTCAACCAATAACTAGGTCACAATCCCGATTAATTACAGAAACACCTTCTACCTCACAACAAAACAACAACAAAACCAAAAACATCAAAAACCCAATTTGGTCAACAAAAATTACCACAAAAAACCCTATATATTGCGCATGTTTATTTCAAACCCATTCTGGCAACATATCTATTAAATTGCGTAGACCATTACAAAACTATTCTTTATTTTAACCACCAAATTTAACAAACTAAAAACTATACACCCAATTGGCCGTACCCCATTAAATTTATGTTGTACACACTATTGTGGCAACCAACATAAAATCACCAACCAAAAAAATACCATAAACCCCATACCCCATTAATACAGGTCATACATTATGCCCCACCACCCCCCCACCCCAAAATTAGGATGTGGAAAACTATTATATTTCCGAATGTACTTATATATACCAATGCTGGTAACCCATAATCTAAAATTATGTTTGTTATGGTTAAATTGTCACCCCCCAGACCACCTATTTCCAACATGGCGAGTTGGGGGTCGACCGATGGAATTTTGGTGCCCCCTGTGGGTGAACTTAGCTAATAATTGTCATATTTCTAACTGACAATATGTCCTCAATAAAAAATTACCAATTGAACATACAAATTGGTTAAAGGTTATTAGCTAACTATAAAAACAAACACACACAACCGACCTTAAATGTCCATGAAAAAAACCCGCACCCGTCCAAATAAACCACCGTGGCCCGCACCCGCTATTCCCCGCAAAATAAGATGACAAAAGTCGTTGAAAAATATAAACACCATGGTAATAAAAATGTACAACAAAAAACTAATATTAATGTGCGAAAAATATAGGAATAAAAATTTTTAGTTAAAAAAAAAAATCTGAAACTCATCAAACTAAAAAAGAAAAAAAATCAAAAAAAAACAACTGGGGTCAAACGAAACAGCTAAAAAAAAACTGTTCTCTCATGATAGCAAAAAGAGAATAAAGCTGGGAAGGTTATTTTGGTTTGGAAATAAACATCCTGTAGATGAAAGTTTGCCAACATTACATAAATATATCTGCTATGCGCCTCCGCACGGTCAGACTCGTTACAATGCAAAAAACAATCGCCCGCTCGGTGCACTGGTGTACAAGCCCTGAAACAGATTCAGAAACCCATAAATCTTCAAATGGCAACAAAGTCAAAATAAACATGAAGAAAGGGCCTGTTGTTAATACATGCTAAAAAAACCTCTCTCAAGTGAAATAAAGACTCTAAACAGAGCCCTACATACAAGACTAGAGAATATTACAAAAGAAAATAAAATGCAGATAAAATAAGTAATATCTAAAATAATTATTAATGGACTTAACATCCCAGCACATAACATATAAATTTACAAAATATGAAAAAACATAAAAACAAAACTGAGAAACAAAAAACCTGTGGCGGTATATTTATAAAAGAAAACAAAAAAGATATTGAAACTCATGAGGTCAACATAAGATAAAAACTCTGCAAATCAAACAATTCGGTAGCGTGCTTTTGAAAAAAAAAAAGTGCTAAAACATGTGTTAATTGGCGCTTCCAATGGTAAAAAATGTAAACAAACACAGAAAAGGTTGCACTGCATTTAAAAAAAGAATGAAAAACTGATGCGTAATAGAACAAAAAAAAGAAGCTAACAAAAAGCTAATAGGAATACATAAATTAATAAATAAAATCAAATGAAAAAAAAACAAATCAAGCCTTTCAAATCACAGTAAATATAAATAATACCACCTGACATCATTACTGGGGCAAAGCTTGACCTGTAGGTCCCCTATAGCCCCCCTAAACGAATTGCTTAAATAAAAGAAAAAAGCAAAAAAAACAAGCTGCACAAAACCCATGTTCCAAAATGGCTAAAAGAGAAAAACATAACATAAAAACAAAAAAAAAGTATCAACAAACTATTTCAAAAACTGTAAAAGTGCGGCATTTAATTAAATAACTCCGTAAAAAAATTTAAAAGCTTTGCGTTGGAAATTTTTCAAACAAGTCTTAAACAAAAAAAAAAAAAAAAAACCAAAAAAAACGACAACAAATCACAAATCTAAAAAAATAAATGGTTGTAAAAAAAAAGTAAAAGACCTTTTGCGCACCTGATGAATATAATAAAAAATGTGGTCTATGACCTTACATAATTTTTTTTTTTGTTCCTTCAAGTGCTCCTTAATTTCAATGGCCTGCCTAAATGTGTGGGAAACATGCAAAAAAATACCGCACAGGCATATTATTTTTCAAAAAAAAAGAAAAAAACTAGTAAAGACAGTGTTTGCACACTAATAACGTGCACATACTGCAAAATAACAACAAAAAACATTGCATTTTTCTTTGCTGTGCTGGAAAAAATGTGTGTTCTTGCATGCGCTTCTGCACCACAATGGTGTGGAACAAGTCCTAAAGGGCCAGTTCACACTATAGAACAAATCTAGATGTGTTCCTGATGCGTTTTTGCATGCCCTTTTGGCATGCATGTTTAGTGTGTTCCAGTACATTTTGGATGCGTTTTGGACTCACGTTGCATTGCATTTTTGTAACCCTTCCAGTTAGTTTTTTTTACTTTCTTTTTATTCAATTTAAATTAGGGACAACATGTGTGTT